GAATTATCTATAATCTAAATATATATTTAAAAATAAAAAAACATAATTCCTATATATATTGTGTTGTTATCCAAAAAATATATTTAGTCAAAAAATTCAAAAACAGAAAACACATAAATAAATATTCATAAAGTAAAATTTTTAATTGTATATAATTGAAAATACAAAATTAAAAAATTATAATACGTAAATTATTTTCGAATTAAAAGAATATAATAATATAATAATATAATATAATGATATATATTTGTGAAGTTATTTTGCCTCTGGATTTACACGTTAAATTAATTTTTTTTTAATATATTTTTATAATTAAACCTTAAACATGAATTAATCATAATAAAATAAAAGATCATTCAAAAAGAAAGAAAATACGTATTTGACAAAATTAATTTTTAAATATATTGTATTATTATCCTAACTAATATTATTCTTTCTGTAAGATCAATTTTTGAATGTATATTTCTTGATTCATTTTTTTTCAAATTGAAAGATAGATTTCTATATTTTTATCAATTAAGAAGAAAGGAAATATACTAGATTATTTAAAACTTAAAAGAAAGAGGTAGATTTATTTTAATTTGTGAATAACTTTATCATGTAAAAAAAGTTTAATATTTTAGCTTAAATTTTTTAAAGCAAATAATCATTTATTTAGATGATTTTTTAAATTGATTTAAAGATAATTACGCCCGCATGTGCGGGCAAATCACCTAGTTTACATTACAAAAAAAAAAAAAAACCAGAGCCGGTCTTGGATAAACCAAAATGACATATTAGTCTTAGGCCCTTAATTTTTTTTAAAGAGAATTACATAGACATAAACACCAAAAATTTAGACCTCTAAATTTGTTAAAAAAAAAAAGAAATTAAATTAAATTAAAATCTATAATAAATGGAATATGGTGTACAAGGTTTATTCACAAACCTGGTTTTTAACGTGAGTGACAGCTCCATGTTCACGCCAATCAAAATCCGTCGGGAGTTCATTAGTCGGAAGTATTGCTGCCTTCTGAGTGTCGTTAGGAAGACGGAACCGCTGTTTCAGTCCTAGATACTTGCGGCTGAATTCCTTCGGGGTGACATCTGAGAATTGCGTGACGCCGTGGACGGCAGAGGGATCGAGTAGCTGGTGACGTCTAGCTCTACGTAAGTTAGCTTTGAAGACACGGAAGCGATGGTCGTGCTCCACCTGATTCTTGTAAGTCTTTTGGTACTTGGATTTGAACAGTGTGAACTGGTGGTCTGCGTTGAGTAGTTGATCATCTTTCTCCTCCCGGACGACTTGCCTGATCGGATTATTTAAACTGTCTTCAACCTCGCCGGAGATGGAGACTAATGAAGCAGCTGCGATGAGGAGGTAGAAGAATATCACACGATCCATCTTTCTGTTTTGTTTTGGACAAGAGAATGAAAACTGTTACGAGCTTGTTAAAAGGAATGATAAAAGACACGTGGCGTGATATAATTAGTCGTCTTGTTTGATGTTTCTTGAAAAAGCAACCACATGCGAAGTGACACATTGCTTGTTGCTTAAAATTTTCGTCAGCTAAACGATACTTTTGTCTAGGCCTCCAATCGGTTCTGGTTTGGTTCGGGTGCAATTTTTATTTATAACACAAATTCAGTCCCATTTGGTTATTACGAAAGTTCGAGATCGATTCGAGTTTACTTGAATTTAATTAGTATATTAGATTTTGATTTACGCTTCAAAAACGCTGGTTTTTCTTTAGATCATATAGAAAATCAATTTTATGTCAGTCATTAATTCGAAGAAGAGTCCTTGTTTAAAAATTATATAAGTTAAGAATTAGTTTTTTAAAAAATTTGTATGTACATTCTTATATAACTCTTTTAGATCTTGACATTTTACCGGATCCATAAAACCAAACCAAAATTCACTATAGTTTGGGTCTGAGTTTAGGAAAAAGTTCATATTGATTTTTTCTTTGACCTGCGGTCACTGTTCGATTGAGGATCCTACCCGAGATCCAACTGGATATTCTAAATACCTTAAATGTTTGTGTATATTAGGTATATTTGGATATTTTAGATATGTATTCGATATTTCAAATGTGTTTTCAGTATTATGATTTTTTTTTTAAGTTTCGGATCCAGATTTAAGATTATAGTTTTGGGTATAATTTAAATTTTTTTAAAAATAATAATAATTTGGGTATGGAAAATGTTTTTAGGTATTTAGGTTCCTTGGGTCATATTTATAGTAATATTTTGGTTTTTGGGAATTTAAATATTTTGTAGGTATTTATTTGTACTTTGGGATTTTTTTGGGTTTTATTATTTTTAAGTGTTTGGGTACTTCGAGACTTTTTTTAATCCTAAAAATCTCGAACCAATTTGGACCTATTACGTACCCAAAACTAAAGGTCTTTATAGGTATTTTAATTATGGACCTTAACCCCCAAAAAATCGACCCGAATCTGAATCAGAAAATTTCAAATTCGTAGCTATGTCCAAATGTTTAGATTCGAAAAACCCAATGAAAGAATGCAACAACCTTACATAAGTAGATTTTTGAGAATATTCTCTTCTAATATTATATATTAAAAATATATTAATACATGTTAGTTTTTCATATGCTTGAACATTTTACTCCTACAAAACCCGAATCAGAACATACCAAAAATTACATATTCGGTTCAGTCAAGTCTGGTCTATAATACCTATTAGATAAAAATTTCACCTACAAGTCTTATTTTGGATGTGTATTGAGCTAAATATGACATAAGTTTAATGTGTAGAGTGCAATTTCTCTCTAATTATTACTCGACTACACGTTAACTCTAATAATTAACGGTAAGCTAGTGAAATATTAATTAAAATCTGTTAGGATTAATTAAATGTATTAAATGTTATATAGTTAGAGAAATTTAAGGTAAGACTAAAAAATAAGGAATTAAAAAGGGTCCAAACAACTTGGTAGATTTTTTAGGACTCTTTCCCTTTTAATAGTATTGATAGTAAAATATAAGAAATTCAAAACATTTTAAATGCGTGTTCGGTTCTAATATCCAAACACTTATTTGTGACTTGAAAATATATATTTAAATTCATAAAACTGATTAAGAAGTGGATGATAAAAAGAAAGAAATAAAAACAAGTTAAAATTAAAAAAAATTATAAACATAGAAAACATCAAACTTCAAAAATGAAGTTTAGAATTTTTTTTATGAAAAATTAATTATAATAAATTTTAAATATGATTTTCAAAATATAAAACTTTCAAGAGTTGACTAAATTATAAGAGATATACATTAAAGAAAATATTATATTTAATTTTTATGTTATAAATACTTATTAGCATACTTACTAAGGATTGAGTTTAGTTTAGAGAAATTTTCTAAGATATACCTAAAATAAATTTTATCAAAAAATATTAACTTTAAAATAAAAATAACCAAAACTAAATTAAGTATTTTATCAAAAGAAGTAAATATGCACTTATTCTTCTATGGTTAATTAATCTAGATATTAGACCATATTCAATGATTTCTCTCATTTTTCCGTCTAAATGAGATTGTGATTTGATCCAATAGTTCTCCGTATTTTCTCCTTCAATTATTACTATACCTTGACCCACCCGACCAGGCGGATATTTATTTATGTTTCTTTTATTTATATTAAATAATTTATTTATAATATTTAGACATATATTTAGATTGAAAATTAATCTTTACAGCTATAATAATTCAAATTTAAAAATTTAATAAAATATTCTGATATAAATTATGAATTTCCTAATTAAAATAATATAGAAGTGGGTCAAAAAATTTTCCAATTCCAAAATTTTAACATCCCTTAAAACAATTATCAATATATAAAATATATAAACATACTTATAACTATAACATCTATTAAATAAATTCTTAAAGAAAAATAACATATTATTTATTACTAATAAATATTAAAATATTTGATATGTTAATACCAAATATATTAGGAAATTTATTTTGGTTAAGATTTGACTAAAAAAAATCTATTATTAATTATGAAAAGACATTGAATACTTAAATCTATTATTTAAATTAGGAAAAGACAAGCATACTTAATATAAGTTTAATAAATATCTCAATAGCATTCTAGTGTAAATAACTGGTAAAGTTAAGGATTATTTCTATTTTGTAATTCACTTTTAATAATAGTGATTATATTCATTCTTCAACTTCTTATTTATTGCAAATAACATCTTTTATTTCATAAAATTTTATATTATACTCACTTATTTTTAAATTCTATATTTTAACCAAATTTTAACTTATGAAAAGTAAATATTTATTACATTAATAAAGAAACATAACAACATACAAAATAATAGTAGAATTGTACTTAAACAATACTATTATTATATTTTTTCCCACAAATGATCAGTCAAAACATTTCGAAGAGAGAAATAAGCTTTTTTATCCTTGATTAATCTAAACTGACTCAAAAACTTTTAGAATTGGATAGTTTCGTCTTCAGTTATTTCAAATTTCTAAGGTGAAACTTCTCTTCCAACTACAATAGGTGCACCGAGATCACGCTCATCTTTAAGTATCATATTGTGTAAAATTACACAAGTAAACATTATGTCATGAATCACATCTTTTACCTAAAACAAACGGATCATTTCACAATAGCAAAACGTGATTGGAGAACTTCAAAAGCACATTCCACATCTTTTGCGCATGCTTCTTGTTGCATAGCAATATATTTTTTATTAGAACATACTGGCTAGTTGCGCAAAAAAAAAAACGACCTACTATCTCTTGAATAGTTTGCACTATGGTAGATCATTTTGGATATATTCCATCAAGCAAATTATAAATTATATTTTAATAATTAATTATTGGTACTTATATTTTAAGAAGTTTAATCTATATATACATATTAGATATAAAGTTAAAAAATTATGTTTAGTGTTAATATTTTGTTTATGTAGAAATTAAAAATTGTCAAAAAGTAAAGAATTATTATGTAAATAAAAAAAACTTGACATTAAAATGAAATTGTGAATATTGTTCCTTTTTGAGGGAATACTGTTCATATCTTCTTCTTTTTTCACTTTAAATGAAATACTATTAGACATTTTTAATGTTTTCTCTCATTTTGATGTATCACTGGAGAAGTTCTTAGGGTTTATGATTAAGATGTGAGGTTTAGGGTTAAGATTTAAAGTTTAGGGTTTGAGGTTAGAATTTAGGGTTTAGAGTTGAGGAATAGGATTTTTGGGATAAGATTACAAATTATAAAAAAAAAAATTTAGTCCTTTTAATTTTTAAATTTTATTTTTGTAATAAAAATTTAAAAATGTAAATTTAAGAAAATTACCCTTCAATTATTTTCGGTACAACGTTTCTGAGGTTTTGGAATTGTTTGGATTTTTCAGATATCCGTTTGAAATCGAATTCGGTTTTGGGTAAAATCCAAAATACCATGGAACATGATCCATCCATTCAAATATGATTTCGTGTTCACTTAGGCTCAAAATGATCATCTATCGGATTGCCGGATTGGATTGGACTGAATTGGTTCGGATTTAGTTTTTTGGTCACCCATATTTTTGTCTATTGCAATTTTGAACCAAAGTTGAGGGTATATTGGTAAATTAGAGTTGAGTCTCCAATTCTCTCCTCCCTCTTCTGTAGCGGGACTTGTATCGACTCGATTCCTCAAGTCCAGTCCAAATCTGGGAGGTGACTGTTACAGTCATGGAGCTGAGATCGGATTTACGATCGACTCTCCTATTCGTTGCGTTCCTCATTGTTCTAAGCGGACTCGTTTCCCCGACTGAGTCGGCTCAGCAACCTTTCCGCCGTGAGCCGGGTCACGCTCACTGGCATCACAGTGCCTTCCTCGACGTACGAGAGAGCGTGCGATCCGATGTCCGCCGCATGCTTCACTCCCGTGCCGAGGTAAATTCAATGTCAATCATCATCAATGAGTCTTGATTAGCTAGAAGAAGCGTTTAGTTTATGATAATTTCCTTCTTGTTGCTTCACGCGTATGATCATGTTGTTGTTAGTGATTGTGCTCCTCTGTTTTTACTTTTGCAGGTACCGTTTCAGGTTCCTTTAGAAGTGAATGTAGTACTTGTAGGTATGAATGGGGATGGAGGATACAGATATGCTGTTGATCCTCACAAATTGGAGGAGTTCTTAAAAGTTAGTTTCTCGACTCATAGGCCTTCATGCCAAGAGACGGGAGAGCCACTTGATATTGAGCATCGATTGGTTTACAATGTTTTTCCTGTGAGTATGTCTTTATCTTAAGCCAGTCTTCATGATTTTGTATCGTGTGCTTTAGATAATTTGTCTTCACGTTATCATACTTAGCTATGCAAGTTCTCGAATCTCGTTCTTCCTTGATCTGTCTAGCGTTTTGCATGTCCTCAGTTATTATAAGTCTTAATGACTTCTCATGCCAAGATTTTCACGGGGTCCCCATTGATAGTCAAATATTGGTCGTTGATTTTTTTCTTAGGTTGGGCAACCTGAATTGATAGCTCTGGAGAAGACAGTGAAAGAAGCCATGGTGTCTGCTGGGACTGCTTTAGAGGTTTCTTGGATCTTATCATCTCATAATTTATTCATACACACACACACACACACATATATATATATATGTGGATGAAATGTAAATGTCTTTGCTGTAAAATCTACCTCTTAATGTATATGCCACTAAGCTGGAATTTTGTTTTTTCATCCAGGCTGACTTCGGAAGATACTTACCAGCGTATGACGTAGACGCAACAAAAGTTGAGTCTGCGTTTAGCCGGCTTTACTCTTACATATTTGATATGGATGTGGGAGCTGGATCAGCAGGAACGGCCGATAAACCCATACCAAATGCCATATTTGTAGTAAATTTTGATAAGGTATGGCTTGCAGTGCTCTTTGTACTTCTTGAATCTCGCATATAGTATGCACAGTGTCCAAATGCTTTACGTTCTCGTGTTTTTTTTTTTAATTTCTATAATCTGAAAGAGTTTGATGTCTTCTTAGGTTTTTATAACCCTCATCTCTCTCTCTCTCTTTGTTCTTGAATATACTTTGTTCTTTGTCATGTTTGCATTTATTCGGTAATTAATTAAGTACTGCTGGGTTTTTCTTTAATTTCCCCTTATGATCTTAACTCATTATTCAGGTAAGAATGGATCCTCGAAATAAAGAGATTGATCTAGACAGCTTGATGTTTGCAAAGCTACCAGAGCTTAGTGATGCAGACAAGGAGAAACAAGAGGCAGATTATATTTATCGATATAGATACAATGGTGGAGGAGCATCCCAAGTTTGGCTCGGATCAGGCAGGTAAACTTATCTTTGTCTTTCTTTCCTCATTACGGTAAAATATGGATATATGTAATCAATGAGTTCTTCTTGGCATCTCTTTGTTATCCCTATGAGTGATAGGCTTGTGCCATAGAAGTGATCCAGAAAATTTGCCCCTATTCTGAGTAGGTATCATCAAATTATGCATAAGAATAGATGTGTGATATATTTGTCCCTTTGTTGATTATTGATAGCCAGAAAGAAAAGAATAAACCATAGAGGATTACCAAGAAGATAGGCACTTATTATTACTTCTCACTTTACTAATCATAGACCCCTGCACCAATCGGCTGAATTGTTCTAAATTAATATGCAAAGATATTGGTGGCCTAATTGTTCTATGCTTTATTTCTGATTTATTTCTCTTCTTGTTAGATATGTTGTCATAGATTTGTCTGCGGGTCCTTGTACATATGGGAAGATTGAAACTGAAGAGGGAAGTGTTAGTCCCAGAACACTGCCAAGGATACGAAACATTGTGCTTCCTGGAGAGGTTAGCCCTGTTGGTCATCAGTCTACCCACGATATCTTTTCTGGTCAGTTAGCTTCGTTAGTCGCTACTACAATTGAGCACGTCATAGCCCCTGATGTCAGGTAATTTGATATGCTAGACTTTCTTACTTCTAGCAATGAAAATTATGCTTAGATGATTCATTCTGAGTGCGACCAGGTTTGAGACGGTAGATCTAGCAACCAGAGTTCTGGTGCCTATCATTGTTCTCCAGAACCATAATCGATATAACATCCTGGAAAGAGGACAAAACTACAGCATAAATATCGAAGAGATAGAATCTGAGGTAAGACTTCTTGGGTTTGAAATAATGGTGGTTCTTATACGTTAATTTGCCTTCTGAATTGTGTTTTCCATCCCTATGAGTCATTATAATTAGTTAATAGACATGTTAGGCAAGTTTTTACTGCTATAAGAAAACTAACACCCGTACAGTTTTCCTAAGCACAAGGATTTGACTCTGTAGATTTTTCACATACTAACTGATCCCAAGTCTTTGCAGGTAAAGAAAATGACTCATGAGGGTCAAGAAGTAGTGATCGTTGGAGGGACTCATCCATTACATCGCCATGAGAAGTTAGCTATTGCCGTCTCAAAAGCCATGCGTGGGCATTCCCTCCAGGAAACTAAGAAGGACGGAAGATTCCATGTGCATACCAAAACATACCTAGATGGTGCTATCCTCAAAGAAGTGAGTTTCGATAATTGGCAGCTGTGGTTTCCGATATTGAAGCTAGAAAATGTTGGGCTACCAGAGAAAAAAAATGGTTCTTAACCTGCTGTTACTATTCCAACCATTGAAGTCTCGTGATTCTTGTTGACCATTGCAGGAGATGGAAAGGTCGACTGATGTTCTAGCTGCTGGTTTGCTCGATGTGTCTGACCCTGACCTTTCTAATAAATACTTCCTCCGCCAGGTAAAACTCATGAATTTTATGCAAAAATTGTTTCGCAAGTTTTGTTCCGTTCATGGCAAATATTCCATATGTTTGTACTCAGAGCTGGGAAGATGAATCTGAAGGTTCGAGTGATTCCATAGTAAAGCAGAAGCCTCTCTGGTCATCTTATAGCTCGAAACTTCTGAAGGGAAAGAAAAAGAAGGCTGTTAAGAAAAAAGGCGATCTCTACCGGACTTACGGAACAAGAGTTATTCCAGTGTGAGTTAATTCACATAAACTAGCTGATAGGACTATTTATTACTCTGGCCAAGCAAGATCCAGTGATTTAAGTGTTTAAAGTACACTCTGAACCAAAACAGCAAATGACCAAAACATGTACTCTGTATATAGGTTTATACTCTCATTAGCTGATGTGGACCCAATGCTCATGATGGAAGATGAGAGCCTCGTGTGGGCGAGTAGTGATGTAGTAATTGTGCTTCAGCATCTAAACGAGAAAATACCTTTGAGGTACGCAAAATACGCAACACCAAGAAAGTATAAAGCAATGAGAAGCTTGCTACTCCGGTCATCTAAATCTGTTCTGATATCTTGTTTCTGCAGTTATGTTTCTGAAACTGAGAGACAGCACGCTGTTCCATCACAAGTTCAGCGTCATATACTTGCAGGTATAGCATCTGCTTTAGGCGGTGTAAGTGCACCATATGAAAAGACCTCTCATGTGCATGAAAGACCCGTCACCAACTGGCTTTGGGCAGCTGGTTGTCACCCGTTTGGACCGTTCTCAAACGTCTCTCAGATGAGTCAAATGCTTCAAGGTGTTGCGCTGGTGAGTCCAATCATTCTGAGTTCTGAAGTAAAATACCATTGAAATTATTCTGAATCTCGTGAGATATGGAATCTTTAATCCGCAGAGGAATACTATTTATGCGCGGGTTGATTCCGCTCTGCACAAAATCCGTGAAACATCAGAGGTAAGCAAACTGCAACTTGTAAAAAAAAGAGAGAGATTTGTAGCTTCCTTCACAGAGAACTCAGCAGTTGTGGTTAGTGTTGTTGTTATTATGTGAACAGCTTGTACAAAACTTTGCATCTGACTACCTCAAGACTCCACTTGGAGAGCCAGTAAAAGACAAAAAGAACAAAACAAGAACGGAGCTATGGGTGGAGAAATTCTACAAAAAGACAACCACGTTACCTGAGCCTTTCCCGCACGAGCTAGTCGAACGATTAGAGAAATATCTAGACGTAAGTGAACAGAAAAACACCAGATGGATTGTTTTGTTACTCTTTTTTTTGTTGTTAATGTTTTATAACAACAGACGGTTGAGGAGCAACTGGTGGATCTCTCTTCTCTGCTATACGACCACAAACTATACGATGCTCATCTCAACAGCTCAATGATTCTTCAGACCACCATGTTTACACAACAGTAAGTCTCTTCTGTCTTGTCGAAATACTCCTGTTTTTTTCTGAGCAAATAAAATGTAATACAAACCAAAAATAATCACGGGTTTCAGGTACGTAGAGCATGTACTGGAAACAGAAAGGGAGAACATGAGATGCTGTAAGATAGAGTACAAACACACAGTTGGAGTCAAGTCTTATCAAACGTTGGTGTACGGAGGAATACTTATTGCAGGTTTTCTTGTGTACTTCCTTGTCATCTTCTTCTCTTCTCCTCCTCCTCGTTAACAACCTCTTTTCTTGCTTTGAGGGTCATTGATTTTGTAACGATTGTTTCTTGTTCCATGGATGTTGCCAAAAGTTTGTTGGCATATTTGTTTAGAAGCAGTAACAGTGTAACAAACCTTTTTTTTCCTTTTTTTGAATCACTATTTAATTTATGCTCCCCAATGTAACAAACCTTTATTGGCATTTATCTCACACCGCAAATTGATATTACTAAGATAACCCCTTGTTTAAAATTGGAAGTGGCCTTTAAAACAGAACCATTTATTCAAGTGACTTGCAAATAAACAATAGTTCGGCCACATCAGACATCATCCCAAAATCTGATATTGATTAGTTCAGGTTCATCTTACATTATTGTTAAAAATATATCCAGTATAATGTGGATTCCTTGGAAACTAATCCAAAGACATGATTCTTTATGGTTATCATGTTCACGTCTTGATAGCGTTACAAGGTTAATTGTGTTACAGGTTACATGGACTTACTAGAAATTTAGAATATATCTCCTCAATGCTCCCAACCAGATAGTTGAAAGGTTATACAAAGCAATTGTAGTTGACGAAAGCAATATCAAATGCTAGAACCCCTAAAGCCTTTAAAGGACACCTATCAAAGTCCCAACCTCCAATTCATGTGTTCGTAGATGCAGCTTGGAAGATACGTAAACAGTCTTTCATAATAACTATAACACAAGCTTCTAACGCAAGTAGATAAGCAAAAATAAAATACTCACTTTCAGTATCAACCAATTTTCACAATATTTCTTACATAACAAATCAAAGCTTTAATTGTAATAAAAAACAGATCATGATTAGATATAAAGTATTAAAAAACAGAACAGATACAAAAAGACAGCTGGGCCAAGCTAACCGAGCATGTGTGTCTCTTCGCCATCATGACCTGTCTCCGGCGTCTGTAGCGGTGGCGCCGAGCTGGAGCTGGAGCTGGAGCCAACTGCGGATATAATGGCATTCAAAGCACGAATCTGCATCTGCATCGCAACAATATAATCGGTCGTCTCATCCAAAACCACCGGTAACGGTTGTTTCCGACAACCGGGAATTAACCGGCTCAGCAGTTTCACTCTCTTCTTTACAGCTGGCAAACCCTTCCCCTTCAGCCTCAAAACCGTAGCTCTCTTCTTTCTTAACCGGTTATTCCCGGTTATCGACGCCATCGTCGGAGGATTCGGGTTTCTCGGCCGGTTATGTTTCCTAAACTTGAGTTTCACTTTCACAGCTTTAGACAGTATAGCTCTGCTCCACAGCGTTCTACCTCTCGCCGTAACCGCCAGGGACCTATAAGCCGCGTCGCGTACGGCTCTACCTCCGCCTCGAGGAGGCAGCTTTGCAGATGGAACCGCGGCGGCGCTGATACGGAGTTCCCTGAGAGATTGAATGATATTAGTCGAGTAGATCTGTTGTTGCTTCTCCGATCTCCATTTCTGCACCGAGAGCTGAGACTGAGAAAGCGACGACGATGGTGAAGGCGGTTTCTTCTTCCGCTTACGACGAGATTGATCATAACTGGAGCTCCTCGTCCTCACCGGAGAAATCGACTCCATGTCAACTCCGCTGAGGACAGAAATAGAAATCTACGAAACAAGAAAGGAGATTAGCGAGTAGAGATTAGAGATTAGAAGATGATTAAGGATTAATGCAAAGATATTACATGTGGCGACTTGAGGTGGAAGACGGTGAGACGTCAAAAGAGAGAGTATGTGGAGGTTGAGGAATCCTTTTTGAGCAAGGAAAGGTAGTGGAATCGATCTTTATATTATCTTCCTCCATGTGATCTCCACTCTCCATATATTTTTCAAAAAGTAATATTATTTATCATCATTAATATTGACTAAACTTAGTTACTACTTCTAATACTTTATAGCAAAGATTAAACATAAAAGAATCCACCTAAATTCGGACTACTACTTGTTAAATGCTAAGTTGTTATGCGTTGTGGATATGTATTTTTTCTTGTCTGAAGTGAAGTAAAATTGTACATTTAGATATCTGCTTCACGCACCCTTTTAGTACATTGGCATCTATAGGTGTTCACACGTCTGTACAATGCTTTAGACCTATTGTGAATGCTTTATTGGCTCTGCTTTTCTATTCTCTCTATTATTGGTATCCCATCAACCTTAACTCGATCTTAAAGTGGATGATGAAACAGAAGGAACGTGTAGTTGTAATCGACTACACTCGTCGTCTCCTTAACTTTCAGATGTATAAATATCCTAGTTTGGAAATGCGTTAGACGCTAATTGGATGATAGGGTTAAACCTTCCCACTAGAGAGAAAATTGGAAATTAAAATGTATAATTTTTAGATTATTTAATATATAAAACATATTAATCTTTAATTGCGTATAACATTAATACATTTTCATATTTAGAAAAATATAAAATACACAAATATAATATATAAATTGAATATGATATAATTGACATCAAAATTATAAATATACATTGTACTTATCAAATTTTAGATCAAATAAATAGATAAAAATAATATTAAAAAAACATAGATTAGGCAGTCATCTAGGCGGTCTATGCAGGTTAAATTCGAATATGCAATTTCTTACACCAGTTTGACATAAATTGGGGAAGATAAAGGATGTCTAGTGCCCCTAAGCATTTAGGCGCCCGATTTTTACAACAAGAATAAATCTTAAGCATTTACTACTCTTTGCAATACTAGATGTGATGCCTCTCTAACAGCAGCATTGGCCCTGGCCCCGAAAACGGTCATAACTAAAATCTGCTCGTATGTTCAGTTTATATTTGGCGTGTATGATAGTGTAAAAATATATGTCATCTTTTATAATTTAAATTTTTTTATAACTTTATTCGTTTTACAATTAAAAATTTATATACAATCTATAATTTGAAAAGTTCAAGTTCTCAGAAAAACGATGAAAAAAGTGGAGACTAGTAAGCGAGACTAAAAAACATAATGAACATAAAACTATTAAAAACTTGAAATTTTACTTCTCATAAGATCATTTTCCAACTTTAACTCCTTGAGAATTTATTTCCTTTATGTTATTCATTTTCTTTTGAGTTTAATCTCACATTTGAGCCACTGTTCGGTGCAAATATTATTTATATCATATAATGTGTTAAACAGTTTGTGCTTGAGTTTAAAACTCCATCACTAGTGTTGAAAGCAATTTTAGATGCTATAGATTACACTTGCATTACAAGGATATCTTTAACTACTATTGAGAGAACCATAAATTTTGCACTATTAACCTTTCATGATTAGAAGAGTACATCATACTCTGACCATCCATAAGATTTGAATTTTCCACATTCTCTTTTAAATACACATCTAAATCATTGGGGTTTTCTTAAAAACATGCTTCTTAAACAATCTCGTTGTAGATGTCAATCATGTTCTGATAGGAAAATCCATTCACAAAAAAGTTTCTTAGAGATACTTGATCTCCATATTGGTCTTGTGACCGAGATTGAGAAGATGCTTTTGAGACTAATTATGAATTGATGCAACCGAACCACCGGCAGTGCAATTGTTGTACTAATCATTCAAATAAGTAAATTAAACTGTACTTTCTCCATACAACTTCTCGAAACACTTTGTAACAAACTTCATCTTCTTGGTTGGGTCAGGAACATCAGCCACAATGATCAGTTTATTCATCTCAACATTTTTCCCAAATAGATGTCAATACTTTCCTAATTTCCTTTACATGGTTGCTACCGTGACCTTTAAATTTCATATGGACCAAGAGCAGTTTTTGATTCACTAATGTTCCTCATTACAGTCACGATTGCATGATACAATTTATGTGCACAGACTGTATTTTAAGCAGACATAACCAAAGTAGTTTTGTAGAAAATAATTAAGAACGAGGCTAACCTATCTACTGGTTCCCAATCATCTTTATTTAATGGTCTAATTCCTTTTCCCCTCCACAGTTTCATTAAAGTACTCGTTATATGGCTTGTCCTCAGCTTCCATCTTGCCAAAAGCCACTTTGAAATTCATCACTAATTCTAGCATCAAATACATGGAATTCCATGTTGATTTCACATTTAAAGGTAAACTTCCAAAATATTTGGAAATATACAAATAATCAAAACAAAAATAACTAATATATTTAAGTACATAAATCTCCAGAGATCTTCGGATACCCAAAATACTTCGGCTTAAATCAGTACGGTAACCAATCACCAATCTAAACTAAACATTTTTAGTTTAGTGGTAGTTATGTGGATATATATTGCCAAAAGATGGTGGCGGTTGGGCTCTAGAACAACCTAGTGCAATAATTATTGTAGCTTTGTATAATCTCTAAAACCTAAGGGTTCTCATAGTAATTTGCTTCTCTTTTATGCGAACTTTGGTACGAAAACCATATATCTAAATAATTAATGTAGTTTTGTGTATCCAGATGACCCCCAGTTAAAGACCTTAGAACATCTTCATCTCCACTCCATAATTTACTCTGTTTTACTCAATAATGGAGTAATGAGTAAACAATAGAAGTATTACTCTATTTATGAATTAGTATTTTACTTTTTGTTTATCATTCTATTTCCCACTCCATTTTAGAGTAAATTATGAAGTGGAAATGGAGGTGTGCTTACAATATACACACCTTGATTCGAAAGTACAAAGACCGCCATGCAATATTTTAGTGAACTTTCTAAAGTAGTGGACGTCTAAAATTTTTAGCGTGGGAAAACCATCTAACCATTGAGTCACTATACTATGATTTGAAAATAATATGATTTTTTTTTATCAATAATATGATTTAGTCAGACAAAAAAAATCGTGATACTTCTAGTGGCGAATCCAGAAAAAAAATTTGACAGAGACACAATGTAAGTATATTATGATTAAATTACTAATAAAATAATATACATTATAATTTTAAATAAACTACGATGTATGGTAATTTTTTAGAACTCATAAGAATTTTTGTAAAATTATTTTAATGTTTTAAAAGAGATTCTACAAGTTTTATAAATTAAAATAATAGAATTCGTAATCAAAACTAGTTAGACATACATACATATGTAAAGCAATACTTAAATTTACACATGTATACAATATGTTACATGTCACTATGTCATAAATAAATAGTGTAAAATATTATATACAAAGTAAATGTATTGTTTACTATTATAATATAAATTAATTTTATTATTTATAGTAATTGATTGTCAGTAGTAGAAATAATAAATTTTAAAATTGTTTCAAGTATAATAATATCTAGAAATGAATGTAGAATGAAAATAAATAGTAAAATTCAAATAAATAATATCTAGAAATGAAAGTAGAATGAAAATAAATAGTAATTGATTGTCAGTAGTAGAAATAATAAATTTTAAAATTGTTTCAAGTAAAATAGTATCTAGAAATGAAAGGAGCAACTATGTTAACATAAAATATAATTAAGTTATTAATAACAAAGTAACCCTAGGTGAAGAGCAATTAAATAGTTATGATAAACTATGGAAACGTGAGAAGACAAAAAGTTAGAAATGTAAACCAAAATAAAAATAAACAAAATAAAAAAATTAGAAATAAGGAGAACATCGAACCATGAACACCCATTATAAGAAAATGTAGGCGTACTGACTACAGTTTTAGTCGTTATGTCACGATAATTATATCAATTACAACTACCTAACGATGATGAGCGATTTGTCGTTAGGTGTCCGTCGTAATGTATAATTGGACGTAAAGTCGTCGTAAACTTTACGACTAAATGGATTCATCGTAAATTGGTCATAAAGCTTGTAGTTATAAATTGAACGTTGGCTAAAAGACGTAAAGTAATGAATGTCCTTTCTTTTCGACATTCATTGATTGTAAAAATTAGTCGTGAAGTAGTCGTAATTTTTTTTTGTCAACTGCCCATCTAAACTAGATCAGGTAGTCGTAATAATTAAACAGTAAAGATAATTAAATTAGTCTTAATATTTACAACGACTTAACATCAATAGCCGACGTAAAGGAGACGTAAAAATTATGACCAAATTACTTCAAATCGGTTTAATTCATTACGACTAGTTTACGTCCAATTAAATAATTTAGATATATTTAAATTTCAAATTTCAAATTTACAAAATTAAAAATTTATAAAATTAATAATTTAAAAATTCAAAAATTTAAAATAAAATTCTAATATATCCAAATATAATATCCAAAAAATAAATAATATATTCAAATTAAAAAAATTAACAAAACTAATTATTAAGGTTAATGTCGTCGAAGAGCTGAGAGCTGTGTGCTGCAGCCTGTTTCTCCTTCTCTTTTGGAGTGGTGTCGGGATTAATGGTCGGATGTCTATTCTGTCACATCTGTGCAGGGGCTGGGTTTGTTTCTGCAATAATATCGAACATCTCCGTCATGGCCCCAATGTGGCTCCTATTGGTCTGGTTATCTGTCCGGAGTTCCGGGATGACCTTGTTGGCAGTCGTCAAAACTGCCCGGAACTGAGATTTGTCATTTATTTTTGCAGCGTATTCAGTTCTCGCCCTCAGGACATCATTCACCATACCGATCTCGACCATCCGTCCTCTTTTTTTTTGGGATAACCTTCATTCAATTAATGAAATGAATAGAAATTAGTACATGTATAAAATTAAAAGCTTAATATGTATATAAAATTATAATTATAATTAATTAAACTTGAATATTTTACCTGCTTAAATATTTTGTCTTGTTCGACGGTGGATAACTGGACTGGTTCACTTTGTTCTGACAACTGGGTCTAGACCTTTCGGATCCAAGCCTCCACATAGTTCTAGATTCTTTCTGCTCAAGAATCCATCAGAATGCTGGTGAGTCATTTTGTAAAGTTGGGAAAGAGATGGTGGTACTCCTTTCCGAGCGGCCTACAAAAAAAATTATGAATTAAATAAACAA